AGCTCAGTGGAATAAACTTCAACCTTGTGTCTTCTGGTCGTTTTTTTTTTTATCTTTTTCCCCAGTTTTTAAACTCTCATTCTGACTTTCGTGATCTCTAGACGTATTGCTAGACGTATTGCTAGACTAGACGTATTGCTTTGCGGTTCTGGCTGTAGCTATGACATGTAATAATAATAATTGTATAACTACAAAGTTTAGGCCTACGAAAGTATATAAAGTATAATTTATTATGAAAGCCATTGATACAACTAATATTTGACAAATTGAGCATTGTCTCCTTATTTCAGCGTACACCATGTCAGAGATAAGCTTGGATTCTCAGTTCACAGAACTCGGCAGTACGGTCTACACAGGGACGCCCTCTGTTGGGAGAGCCATGGGGCGGTATATCATGCCGTATAGAGGTAGGTTTTATTATCAAGTGAAAGAACCCTCTCTCTCTCTCTCTCTCTCTCTCTCACAGGCCCGTAGCCAGATGGGTTCGCGGAGTTAGCACAAACTGCCCTTTTCCGGGAAAAAGTCCGCTTCTGGTACATGGTCATTTCATGTTAAAGGGTCCATCTTTTCAGAAAAAGACACCTCCTTGAAATTGCTGGCAACGGTCCTTCTCTCTCTCGCCATTTATGATTATATAACTTACTTAGTAGAATTCAATCATGATCATACCTAAGCAGTGATGCTATCATAAATTATCGTGGGTACAAAGATATATAAATAAAAATAAAAGTAAAATTAAATATATTTTCGTCAGTTAGCATGTCGCTATACAGTTGCTCCGTGTGAGGGCCACACTTCTCTGTAGGCACGAGTCAGACAAGTTGATAGGCCTAATGAATTTAATATTATTTCTTTTTTAATGAATTTATTGAGCACTTGTACATTTCAATCTATGCATATATAACAAAACAATACAATTATGGAAGAAATACGCTAAGCTAGGTTTACTTGGAAAAAAGGTTTGGTAAAAAACTATCCATTCAAAATTAACGACCACAGAAATGCTATTTTACTGAACTCAAAGGACACCCTCGTTGGGTGGATAGAAAGTCCCAAAATGTTTTGCTTTTTTGACCCCGTTCGGCAAATCAAAGACCGATTAGAAATTAATTTCTCGTTAAATGACGTCGGGTTTGACCTCTGAAACCCCGTGACTCCTCCTAGGTCAGCACGTGCTCACCCGGGATATGACCTCCGACCCTGGATGGCCCTTAGCGGCACTTTGGGACAAAACGGGTTTAGGCTTGGAGTTGTCTAATAGGTAAAAACAAAACATGGCCCAAAAGGATTTTCAAATCCACTGGAAACAGTTTAGGTAGAGTTACCATTTTCGTGCGAATTATTTTTATTAAAAAATATGACAGTTTGTAAAAAGAATAATACGTAATTTTTCAAGAAATAAATAGCGGTAGAAGCAAAGGGGTGTTAATGTCCGACTTGAAAAGGCTTTCAGAATGGTGAAAGGTCGCTTGAAAATAAACCTGATGTGGATATGTTATAAGTGCTTTGTGCATTTACTCTGCTGTAGAAATAATACGTCTCAAATCGTTACTAGAACCCCACACAAGCCGAGCATTAGACCTACAACACGTCACAACTATCGCATTTCACAATCGCTTTTCTCATGAGCACCATTCCAACCGCACCCACGTACGCCCCTTCCACCCCCCCCCCCCCCACCCCTCCTTCACCCCAAGACGTACACTCTGCCATATTAGGCCTTACAAACAACACTGCTCATAATATTTTATATGTCACTACGCTACACAAGTGGAATAAAAACAGAAATATTGACACTGCAGCACTGAGCAAATACGCTCGACTCAAAGGGACGGACAAAGAAACTGGAGTCAGAGAAAAAATGGACATATTTTGGTGGTTGTTCAATATTTGCTTAGTAAAACAAGCACACATTGGCAACTGTACTGGTACAATGAGGAATACAGGTAGAGCGTGTTCGCAATGTGTACGTGTGACACGCAAGGTGAGAGACCAGTGTAAGGCAAACTGTGCTCAGTGTAAAACGCCGCTTTCCCGTAAAACGTTAATCGTAACCTCTCAGAATAGTTCTTGGACAAGTTGATTTAACGCTGAACCGTCCCCTAACCCTTCCGGATTTATTCTTAGTTAATTCGTTGGGGTCAACTACATTTTTCTCATTACGTTCCGGAGTCAATTACGTCGCTAAAATTAGGAGCTCCCCCGTAACTGGTCATTACTCAAGAAAGGCATTTCGCCAAGCTTAAAACTATTTGATGTGCAAATATACACAGGTGTAAAGTCGCGCTTCAGCTCTCCTAAATGGATGCAGAGAAAAGAAATCCTATTTTAATACCGCAAATACTATAAACACGTAGTCACGGCCTGTCGGGGAAGACCCAAAGCCAGTCACGGTTTAGCGATAAATATTTTGAAGAACAAAACCATCTTCTTTTCTATTAAGGGAACCTTTCTGACACGTACCGAAATCAATTTATTTTTATAGCTTGGCCTGGCTTTTCATGAAATGTAGTTTTGCCAAGTCACGTCTGTTTCTTCAGAGACGGAACATTTGTAGTTTTGACAATCGATGGAATTTCTTTATATGGCTCTGTAGTTGGATGAAGTAAGCGTCGTTTGGCGCAGAGAATCCTGAACATCAAAGATAACTGACGACAATGCCTCGTGTCGTTCTGGGTCAGAATTAAAAAGAGTTGCGTTGGATTCTTAACAGGAGTAGTGGCGCATGGTCTTTATCATGCTTACTTTGCAAAATTGAAAGCTACATTTTGTTCATTAGAAAACTGTTTTATACATATATTTTTTTCTGATCAAAGTCTGTTTTGTTGACTCGTCTACCACATCTTAAATAGAATACGTGATATCTCCTAACCCCTTCAGCTCCCTTCACTCCCCTCCACCCCCCCCACCCCCCCGCTCTTCCAAAACTCTTCACCTTACAACAACTACTATGCTCATTTTTTGTCTCATCACAGAAAAACTAAATACGACATCAGCGACCAAGATTTTTAAAAGACCCCAAACTGAATACCCTACAAACATTCTTTAACAGCGCCATTCTAGGCACATTACAAACCATTGCCGGACCTGACATTTGGCGCTCTTAAATAAGATTACGGACGCTGTTGCTGCGAGACGAAATTGAAGCAAAATCGATAAAAAGACCCCCTCCCCCGCTCTTGACTTCATCGACATGATGCAAAGAGAGAATACTGCTGAAGATATGTACGGTCATTCGATTGGCGACTCGGGGTTTCTCGGCAAGTTTATGACAACGTGCAGAGCTAAAAGTTCATTTAATTGTGGGAAGGAAAAGCGGATACTGCGAAATACAGGTAATGTTCTTGCTGTCAGTCCGGAGATCGATGCATTAAGCGGGCGTTTCATTTTCAGTGATGACCAGTATAGTACAAAATGTGCAATTAATCAACAAAATTTGACCTCGAGCTCTAGCTTCTACACACGCATGAAAAAGAGAAACAAACTATAAGTGGACCAAGACATTATGAAGTCCTTATCGACATTTAAATCAGCATTCCTATACCTTCCTCTTGGCCCTAGATAGATGTATCTCATGAGCACCCCCCCCCCCCCCTTCTAAGGAAAGTTTATTTCAAACCACATTCAATGCCACAAATTAAAAAGAGATAGAAAAGCATTAATCTGAGACTTCGGATGCCTAACCATTTTACCTCTGAGCAAAAGTAATATTTCCCAGTTAGGACATTTAGTCTTGTAATAACAGTTCATTGCCGCACTTTTGGACACCGAGATCGTCCCCATGGGTATGGGTCAGTGATCCATCAGTTTACAAAATATCTCTAGGGACGAAATTGAGAAATGACGTCGCGAGGTCATCCTGCACTGCCCCAGAGCGTTTTCCTTCCTAGTTAACCATTATTAGAATTGGAACGTGCAGTTATGCGAACATATTTGCCCTTGTTATTGTGCATCTTCAATTAGATCAAAAGTCAACACCTGGAAAGTATGGCAAAGAATCCTTATGTTGTTCCACACAGCTATTTTATTTAGTCAATCATCAAATACCAGAGGAAAATCATTGCAATTCAGAAAGAACGGGAAGTGGGCTATTGATTGGCGCACATGGACAAATTGTAACAACAATACCCATTGTATTTACCAACAGTAAAAAGGTTGTTTTAAATAACTACACCGCTTTGCTCAAATTAACTTGCAAAATACAGTCCTCAAATCAATTAATGGATGTTTAGATCAACGTAGTACGTGGTAAAAAAAAAGTTTGTAAATACAGAAGTAGTTATGAACGTGAAAAAATCGTATAACGCGAGGATTATTTTATTAGAATTGGAGGTGTCAGAAAATTTTGTTTGTTTGGTGAGTCATTCTCAGTTCCAAACTTGTCACGTTTTTATTTAAGAATTCTAATATAAGGAAAAACGTGAATGAAAACACGACTTTGGTGATTCATGCTCCTGAACATTTGGGGTCAATTTTAGACAAATTTTCGCTATTTTGGGCAGGAACTGGTTCAGAAAACTGGTTCCAAAATTCAGAAAATCTCGGATAATACAGACATATTTCTTTCACATGCACATAGAGTCCGTCCCGTTTGTGAGAGCTTTGTTGAATTGGGCCAACCCAATAGATAACCGGTCATCCATCCAGTCCATGCGGTCAACAATGGTCTAATCCGCCTTAATCCTTGGCAAACTGTTCTCCATTGCTACTCTACCACGGCTCTTTGTCAATATTTAGATGTAACACATTCTAGAGATTTGGGGAGGAATGTATAAATACGGTGCTTAATTTGGCTATTTAGTCATGATAGCAGGTAATTCGTGGTATGTATACTATTTGAATTCGTTCAGATACAGGTTATCTTAGTCTCTTTGCTATTTGTTTTATTTGTTTTTTATTATATCTTTTTGAATCAGACGTTACGGCTGTGGGTGTTAGAACAATCGGTAAGACTGACTTTAAAATATATTTTGTATTAAGTTGAAATGACGTTGGTGAATTCGCAAGGCGATTTTACATCATAAATGATTAATAACGTTTCATCACTTATATAACTTAGTGTAATATAACAGAATAATATAGAATTTACTATACTTTTTCGTGAAATAAGAAATGTACCTAAAACAATAAACTACGACATGATTTAAAATACAATACAATACAATACAACACAACACAATACAATACAAATGACATCGCAAAAGTTGTGGTAACTGTCATCTACTGATACAAGAATTCCGTTTGTTTGCTGTCACTATTCTCATATTGCTTCAAAACATTAAAACATTAAAACACTGAATCCTTGGATGTCCGTCTGGAACACAACAATCAAGGATATATTAAGTCATACCAATTTCAATGGTGTAAACGCTGTCTAGAAATAAAACACCCGTATGTCAACAGAAGAGCCAGCTGCTAAGCCGGGGGTGACCAATACAGGCACAAAATTCCACTTCTTTCTGTATACACAGTGTCAAAGGAAATGTTATTTGGTCATTGGCAACTTGACAAAGGCAAAGCCTTCCTGTGTCCAGTGCTTTTGATAAATCTTTACATAGCAGACATACCCTGTAAAGTATGTATTATTTGGCAACAGGTATTTTAAAGCCATTGAGCCTTCCTTTGGCTAATCTTTGATTAGCTTGGTCAATTTTTTATCAATCTGTTTGAAGTGTTTATTACCATGAACTTCAGAGTTCCCATTTCCAGGTGTCCTTTCTTTCAACAAGCTTGGTGCACAATTAATATCAAATAACTGGCAGTTGTAGGTTTACTTCCGGTTCTTGACAATTCCATGAGGTTTATGTCATTCTGCGCCTGGTTCTTGCTTTTGCCACCAGGTTTATGTCATGTTGCACCTTATTCATGGCATTAGTTGCCATGGGTTTTGTGGCATGTTTCACCTGGTTCTTGAGGTTAACGTCAGGTTTGCATCAGGTTATGACATACCTGTGAGTTTTTGTCATGCTTCCAGAAAGAAAAACCCACCAATGTTGTCACAAACCATCTCAATAAGCCACCAGATTGCAATAAGGTCATCCAAATTGGCCATCAGGGCAATCAGATTTGTTACCCTACATGACCTGTGCTGGATGAGATCCACGTGTTGGCTAGTATTACTTGACTGAAAACACATGGTGGTGTACATATCTCCTTCTCTGTGTACATATCTTCCTTAAATTATTATGTCACTGTGCTTGGACGTTGTGTACTTGTGTCATTTGCAGATGGTCTGGAAGCAGCAATGGGTAACATGTAAATATAGGTAGATTATAACAATAGAACAATGACAACGTTTAACGGTTCGTTTAGAAAACCAAATACCAGTTTGTATGGCTGAAAGCACAGGGCTTATTACAAAAAAAGAAAGCAAGAAATAGATAAATGAAATAAAACATTAAAAGTAACAATTATCCAAAGCATTTAGACACCATGGCAAATCCAACTTAGAGCCATAGGAGAAAATATTGAAGGCATTAATTATTGCATATTAATGTGTTCGTTCGCTGTACCTTGATCTTTCTCTGCAAAAGCTCGGAAAGCAATATCTGTTGTTTAATTTTGCCTCCATAGCAACAAGCTAATATGCCCACATTCTAAAGAGAAATGGAAGTCGGCCAATTATAAAAGGTGTTTCAGAAATTCACACATGATTTTCCTCACAAAAATAGAATTGTCTAAAGCTTGGAAAAATTGGAGGTACGGTATCAAAAGCGCTCCGAAGAATTGATCATAATCAGTTTCCATGGAACATACTGTACACTACAACGACAATTAAACCAAATGGCTTGAAATGGCTTAAAATTTTCACTGTCACTTTTAAATATTTAAATGATAGTCACCAAATAATTTAAAGGGCAATTTAAACAAGATCACAACAATAGGGAAATTGCATTACGAAAATTTAAAAGCAAAAGCAGGTGCAGCAGAATGTTTTTTAATATTGAGGTCCCCATTGGAGCAACCTTGTTTGCTTTTTCTGATAACTGCAACACCTTGCAACCTGTCCACAATATCCAACCTCCTTGTATCAGTTACAGTAGTGCCCCGAAATTCCAAACTTCCCCACTCTTGCCACGACAACCATCAGTTTCCTCTTAAGCTTCAAACACCACTGAAACCAGGCAAACAATTGATTGCAGAGTTAGCAGTAATTAATTTCTACACAAGGGTGATAAGTGGACCTCTGTTTGTATTGGATAGGTATCGGGGAGGAATTTAGGCACAAACTGCAGATAAATTCCCCCCTGTGAAGTTATCAAAATAGTTTTGGATCTTTGCTATTGAATAGTTTGTTGAAGACATACAGTACATACTGTATATGTCTCTTTCTCTTAGGTTTTCTGCATTAATTAGGACTGGATATACATGAAACAATACATCAGTTTGTCTGTGTTGTACAGGGGGTTTCATATATATTGCCACAGCTAATCTTCACTGTGGAGTTAATGTGAACGTAATTCATATTGCTTTTCAGAAAATGTGAATTGTTTTCTAAAAGTAAGATTCCATTTGTAAATTTGGCCTTTTAAAAAAGAAATTGATCAGCAAACACATCTCTTGTAGACAAAGCTGAACATTGCAAATAATGCTTTATTATATGACTAGTTAAAGAATAAAGTATAACAAACAATGCTAAATGGGAAAATGGGACTTACGCAGACACAAGTGGTTAAAAAGTCACGTAACTGATTTTGGACAATGGAGGGTTCAGTTTGGATAAGAAAAGGGGGCAATCACATCGTGGCATTTGTTTGGATTTAGGACAAAATTTTGATGTTTTTGACAATCACGTTTTTCTTCCTTTGTACAGAGATATCTTTTAATCATGTCAGTTGCAATTTTTCAAGATGTACGTTTATGATTCAGAAAAAAAAATTATATGAATTTTAAAAATTTATCTGCACCATTTTATATAACTAACAAACGCAGTCTGGGTTTTTCTCTCGGCTGCTGAAATATGATATTTCTTAGAAAAAAGTAAACAAAAGAGGGTTTTTCAGAGTTACACATACAAATCAGTCAAGTGATCAAATATCTTTGATAAAAAAGGTCAAATGCAATGCCTGTTAGGTAAAAACATGTATAAAATCTTTAGAAATGTTTAACTTTTTACCAGCAAAAAAACTTGTTTTGACAAACATTTGTCAGCTCTTCCTTGTCACTCTATAACAAACCCCTGCCACCATCACGTCAGCAAAAAATCCATTGAGAAACATCAAAGAGCAAATGAGTCTGAGATAAAAACAAAAAGGCAAATTTCAAATGTGCCCTCCCTTCCCCCATTTTATTTATTTTGTACTTGTTTATTTTATTTTTGGAATGATAAAAAATTAGCAGACCCCACTGTCAATGCTAAAATGATAATCTGTAAGAGAGGAATGATAAAGCACAGAGTATAACACCCAGAATGATAGCACAGACACCTGTTGACACATCTACCTGTCACCTTATACATGTACTGCCTGTCAAATGTCACAGATTACCACCTGGACATCAATGACAGTGTCTGTCAACTGTCACAGTACTGTTATTTTATAGGACAAGCAGGATGAAAACCTCCCTCTTGGCTGATAAGACATTCCTTCAAAATTGATGCAAGTTAATTGGTTTACTAGATCTGAATATTTTATGTCCTGGTACATTCTTATTAGTTAACTTCTTTTGCATCTCACAAAGTTAATCTGAAAAAATAAATAATTATATGAAAAAATTTTTTGGAATTATCTCAGATACATCATATCTTAGTCGCTGTTTCAAAAATCGATAATAGGATGAGGATGTTTTGGATGTTTTTCATATCTGTATATTAATTTTTGAGTTATCTCTTAGGCTGACAAGCACTGAGTCTAAGGTGCAGATGATGTTATGGCACCCATTTATTATTGATTATTTATCTCAGTTAATGAGTTCAAAAAGAGGTCAAATATTAAAATTACATGTATTTGTAACTGATGATTTTTGTGGAATATATGTCATAATGATAAATATATAATACCTGCGGATCATTACTTGTGCTTTTTATGAAACAAAAACCAGTGTGCTTTGAACATACTAGAGTGGCTGGTAATAACAGGATAATGTATACCTGCAGAATAAATGTACTGTGGAATATTTAAGATTGATGTTGCTTTGAGGAAAGTAGATATCCCACAGACAACATCCAATCCCCATTAAGGCAGCTGGCCATCACTGACACTAAGTTAATTATTAAATTATTAAAGTGTCAGATATTGTCTTTATAGTGAAAAGGACTTTAAGATGCATCCCAAATAAATGCTTCAGAAATGTATCCTCCATCTTCTTGTAATTCCTCTCTAAGTAGGTTTAAATGACTTATTTACCTAAAATTATAGTAATAATAATAATAATACAATCAAATAAAATAAAATACATAAAGAAGTTCCATTTATCTCCTAACAAAATGAAATAATAATGTCCAACTCTGACCATGCCTAAAGTCAGTATAGTAACCTGGATGTAGTGACCATTCCTCTCTCCTGCCTGTGCTCACCTTAGATGTATAAAACATTTAATGCGTCCACGTACCAGCTGACCGCGTGTACTGATCTAGGAGGTCATCTGCTGTGGCTAGCAATAAGATGATATCAATATTGTCTGAGAGATGATATCATTGATATAATTAATTGCTGTATTGTGACCTCTGTCTGACCCTGACTGGGGACTATGAACACATGCACAACCAGTTGATCCAGGGACTAACAGATCCACTGATCAAATATGGCCGACCCACTTGAAAGCTTGTCACATAATCCATGCAGGGAATCTATTCAGTACCTATTAGGGCATTATGCAGCAAGCTTTCAAGTGAATAGGACATATTTGATGTACGGATATGTTAATACGTGGCTCAACTTGTTCTGAACCCACCCCTAGTCTGTCTGATTTCTGCCTGCACATAACAGATATGTACTGTATGTAATTATCATGGTCAGTGCTTGTTGGCAGATGATTCCTCATCATCAAAATTTAATTGTTAGAGAGGTCAGTTGAAACCAAAAACCACAAAAGAATCATTAGTGAAGCATTAATCGTGATAATTTAAAAACAGAAATATGAAGATGTTAGTACATTCAAGATACTGGGTGTAATCTTGAACAAAAGGTAATTCTGCAGTGCTTGTGCCTATTTTATTTTTCTGCACCATGAGACGTAATAAAATTGTCCACCTGTATGGCTATCAAAAGGGCAATGAAAAAATATCATGACCTGCAAACAACAAGACTTGAACTTTGGTGATGTATAAATAATATATTGCCCTTTGTTCATACAAGGTATAAGTAAAAATAAAAACAAAAATGCATGTGTGTTCTATACAACAAAATGCATCCAATAAATTATTTAATTAAAGAGACCATTTCCACACCCAACAACTGATATGCACAAAATCATTTCTATGAATTTTTACCCTCCTATTTTCCCATGACAGTATGATTGTATAGTTAATAGCAAAAAAAAAAAAAAAAAAAAAAAACAGTTCTATAAATTCTGAAAATTGAAATCTTGGTAACCATAGTAATTAAACATTTAATCATGTTCCTAAACATTCTCAAGTCAAAGAGGTCAACTGGAAAGCTGAATCACTTTATTACATTATATAGGTTATATTTTATGGCGTTATTTTTGTTATGCTTGGGATGACGTCTGATCAGAATAAAAAAAAAGTATAACACACGCACCTGGTGCTGGTGAGAAAGAGATATAACCCAAGAGAATCCATTTATACATAACAGCCATGAGGAGTGATAATTTATATGGTTGGGGTCACTCAGTACGATATAGCATTTAAGGCATTGAGGGAATACCAATATGACAAGAGGAAAAGACAATAAATTAACAAACAGGTAACTGAAGTTTATTATCCAACAAAAAATAATATTCATTACAAATGCAATATACTATCAGATAATTAGCTATTTAAATCTTGTTACTAAATACATTGTTTCAGGCATAAATATATACGTGTTATCTTGTCCATATCTTATCAGATAAACTTCAGCTTAAAAACTGATTATGTTCCAAAATAAATTTGCATTGTCTATAAATAAATGAATTTAAAAAAGATCAATAATTATAAAGACTAATTTACTACAAAATGTATAAATAATACATTTTTGGATTAATAAAGACATCCGCATTCATCGTTCCTGACATCTGTGTACAGAGGGTATATTCCAGAGTACCAGTATATACTGGTATAATTTCTATGTCAAAGCCACTGGACTGGAACATGTATTTATCCAGGTATACAGCCATTTTTATACAGGGTGTTCATAAAGTTTGTGCCCAATAATAGTACAATTCACAGTTCACATTATGTGACTTACAGAAATTAGGAGTTTTAAAGTGAAAATTATATTCATGAGGTAATGCAGAAAATATGCAACATGGATGAAAAGGAATGTGCCTGTCTTGTTGTGTTTTGTACCTCATAATTCATACATTCAGAATTGATGGGCATTAGATCCCAAAACACAGTTCTGTTAGAAGTGAACTCCTATAAATAATGCTAAGTCTTGCAAAACGGCTGAAGCTCATGTCAGTAATTTTTTTTTTTTTTTTTTTTTTTTTTTTTTTGTAAACACTGACAAAATAAATCCTTAAAATATGTCAGTAAATATTGCGGTTTACATGAATAAAATATGTGGATAAAGATAGATTATCCCTCTACTCAGTGTGTATGATATATTTCATGTAAAAGGAGTTTAAAAAGGACACATAACATTAATAAAATACATATCTTATGCATGCTTGGTAAAACAAAATTAAAAACTAAGGAATTATATGTCTAAACAAAATATGAGATAATTGTAAACTTTTCTGCAAGATATTGGAAAATGTCTTCAAACTCAACAGAGTAAAGGGGTGAAATTTAACTGAAAAATATTCAAGATCTTTATCAGGAAGAGCAGTTCCTTTTCCTTGTAACAACTACAGCTTGTTCACTCATTTAGAACACTGAATCCATTTTATTTTTGACGTCAATAGACCTAACAAAAAGACATTAACATTTTTCAGATTTCTCATTGCAAATCAAGCTTCTGTGGTCTCAAATAAAATCCTCTAATGCAGCAAATTAATTTAATATCTTAATCATGGTGTAAGTCTTTTTCATGTAATGAATGTCCATCACAACTTGCTTTACTCTGACAAAAAAAAAATGCATTTTTCCGTATGTCTTTGACACTGAAATAGAAGTGTGTATTGACATTTGAGGCCCCCTGTGCACATAAAGTCTGGATTTAATCAGCTTATAAATCTTGTATACCAGCATAACTTTAACAGCACAAGACAGGTGAAATATCTGGTTACATCACTTTAAGTCACCTCACAGCTTGACGTCTTTATTGCTATTCACAAGTAAAGGACTATATTGTACCGCACATTCATTTTACATTAATCTTGTCTTCCATCATAAAGTGCAAGGCATTTTTACATTTCACATATAGTGTAATAGGTAGAGGTCCTGGGAGGGAGGGAGGGAGGGAGAGAGGGAGGGGGGCAGAAAGGCTTAGCCTTCCACCCCATCCCAGATCCCACTTTTGTCAACTAAATAGCACAAGAAGTGTGTGTGGGGGTGGGGGAGAAGAGGGGGATATTGGTCTTCCCTTGTCATCATTTTTTGAGTATTCTTTAATGGTTAGCCCCCCTCTTGTGCTTAAAGGTTTTTCCCTGTGCAGCAGTATTTTGATTGTTTTTCAACCAATCAACGATAAAATGAAATTTTCCAATGTAACTCTTCAATTAGATTATGTGTCATCACGGCATTAAGGCCATTCACACAGAGTTGCAATTTCACCAAGCTGCTGTCAACGTCAATTTATGTTACTTCTGTCAATAGATGCTGAAGAATGAATTCAAACAAATTAAGTTTAGATAGGAGTTGCCTTCTTTTACTGCTATCATCCTTCAAGGTGTATTAACAGGTAACTTCTTGTATCCAGGTAAAATAATGCTCATCCTGTTGCATAACCTCATGTATTACATTTATATTTCCTCTCAGCATGTGATATATATAGCTGTGCACATACTTTAATATCTCATCATAAGATTTATATCTTGCTCCTCCCCCCCTTCCTGTTCTATTGCTTAATAGCAGAGATAATGATGTTGATAACTCATGTGACTGACTGAATATTTCTTACTTTATGACATGATACATTTATTATATATCATACCATGATAAATATATGAGGGCAATTAATTCAGATATTTAGGCTTAAATCATGTTGATCATTGACACTGTTTTGTGTTTTTTTAAATCTTATATAGGAGATAGTTTATCCATGCATCTGTACCCTTTCAAATCAGATAATTGTAGTGTATACTTTTTAGTGTTCTACAATTAACACTATTTTATTTTCCTTAATAAGAAAGAAAATACCCAATTGCTACAATTACATGTAGGTAGCAACAAGTAGTGAATCACATTTTCAGTACAATATAGTCATGATTATTTAATATCCCCAAACAGGTTCTTTTAATGAGAAAATAACAATCATTTCACCTATGATCATGCCCCCCCCTCCGCCCTTCCATAAAGGTAATCATTGAGGTGTTATTAACTGAAACTGAAAATTAAGCCTTAAAGCACATTATCCATAAACTTCTGCAACCCCTGTAGCTCCACGCCGTGAAATAGATCTCATTAATTCCGCTCTAAATGTCACCTCCAATTCGTGACAACAGAACAGGTAACAACTGTCAATTAATTACATCCTGGAAATGGCAAAAAGGAAAAAATCCATCCAATTTTGTACCCCCCTGTAGCTGTGTACACTCCTGTGTTGCTTAGCTCATGTCACATGACCTCATTGATTTCATGTATGTTTAGCGCAGTGTGTTCAGGCACAAAGCATGCCTCACAATAGAGACTTTCAACCACACACAATCAGCCAGTAACAACTGCCTGAGACGCAGTCGCAGTTCAAAGCCCAATATGTCTGCTGCTACTGCTGCCCAAGCTTATTTAATGTCGCTCAGGATTATGACTTAATGTTGAAGTTCAAGAAAATGTCGACCACAGACCCCCAACTTGAAGAGCGCCGGGGATTTACCGACTGGGATGGGATCATGGCTGAGTTGTTTAACATAGGTGAGTGGGGAGAAAAACGCTGTCTGTTAATGAGGTAGACGACAGATTTGTCCCTTGTTAAAATCAGGTGTATTAAAGAGAACTAAAGCCTGCGCAAGGCTATTTAATCAATAGTTTATAGAGACCAGTGCATGTATTGAGGCGCTTGGCAAGGGTTCAAATTAATCTTCAGAAAAATTGTGATGTGTCGTTTCAATGCGTTTTGGGTGACAGGGAAAGTTTTTTTTCTACCCCACAATTTGTTCACAGTGTGGTTATTTGAGACTGACTACATTTAGGAGATCGTTCTATTGACGAAACTGGCGTAATCTTAGCCAAACTTAATTTATCAGTTTTATCCTACATTCACCTACATGTGATAAGGCTAGAGGTGAGCCATCCTAGCTTCAGTATGAAGAAAAATCAATTTTATTTTACACTTTTTATATGGCTGTTATGTTTGACCAGTCTTTTTGCCATAGTGATTAAACCTTAAAGATGCTTAAATGATTATATTAATCACCATCTGTTATTAAATGCCCTAGAAAAAAATTCAATATAATTTTAATAACCTTCAAAGACCAAGTAAATTTCATCTTTAATTTACAGTGGGAATATGATGAGAGTTATCTGATATGATTACAGAAAAAATATGATTTAATTTGAATATCTCACAGTAACATCAACAAAAAGAGGATGTGGACTGCATATGATGATGTGTTGGACTAATGTTTTCACGGATGTTTTTTTCACCTTAATGTCCTTAATAGAAATTATATGTTTTACCTCAGACAGTGCAGGAAGGGTGTTTGCTTACTTGTATGAGGTATTTTAACAAGACTGACACTTGTAGACCAGTGGTCTTTTAACAGGAGTGATTTAAAACCAAAGGCATACCGACATTTAACATTAAGGACCATAAATTAGCCACAATTTACTGTTGCCACTTTAAGTGATAAAATACATGTTATTTTCCCCTGCCTTCAATACAATGTCCCATTACTTCCTGCTGTGCTAAGTCATGACAATTTACTGTTGGTTTAATACTCAAGGTGAATAATTCAATTTGATAACTTCCAAACAACTGTGTTTGACACATACAGTAAGTGGTTCGACACTTGGAGATAATGATAACACATCAGGATCAAGAGACTCAGTTGAATACAATAGTGTATTTTCATATTTAAATGTTTTATAACCTGCCTTTGTATATCAAACATAAACAATATATATATGATGGCTTGAGTGATTACAAAATAAAAATTATTTGGTATTTTTAGAAGAAAATCAAAGAATAGATAGCTTTTTTTCTTGAAGAGAAGATAAAACATTTTGTCCTGTTCTCCAAAGAATTCATTTCATATTTAATCCATCTAATATTTCTTTATAGTATGGTATTAATGAAGCAAAAATGTGTCAACCTGTCACTGTCATGTCTCTCCCCTTTGTTCAAATATGTCTCATATTATTGACATCGATACTAAATGGTTCTAATTTTCATTCCTGGTGAAAATTTTTTCAAAATTCTGGCATAGCTGCATTCTGTTTTTCATCATCGTGGCTGCTTAAAGAATTTATTTGATTTCATAGCAAATGTGCAACATTTTTGGCTAACGAGACACTAATGACAAATTTGTTAATTAATTATTCACATATGTTGGTTTGGTAATCAGCAAGGGAAGTATTTTGGCAGCATTTTATGTTTGTAACCTGCATATACATTTAGCACTTTAACAAAAAAAGCTGAAATATGAACTTCTGCCTTTCAGATTATAAAAATGCAATCACTTTCAGTATATAAAAATATCCCCACTATTATGGGTGTTTATAATCAATAAAACTTTGACATTTATGGCCCACTTTTATCTAAAGTTGACTTATTGAAAGTGCCAAGTTGTTATTATAAACCACATTGTTTGTCCACATTTTTTTATATGGTGTGATGTACGAGGGCAAGTTGAATGCAGGTGACGTGGAGACAAAGTGACATATTAGTAAACAGGTGCTCTCATGATATCTGCTGTGTTTTACAATAAATATGACACATTTTACAGAAAATGAAAAAGAAATTAAGATCAAATAGCATTATTGCTTGAAAGTTTGACAAATTGAAAATTAACCATGATGAAAGGAATAAATCGAACCACCTGCAACTGTGGAAAGGTTATGAAATTTATTTTGTCCAGATGAATACTTCTTTCATAACACACATGCTCCTACTCAGAATTATGAATGAGATCACATTCCTGTCTGTCAACCATGGCAGGTAAGGGCAGAGAAGATGAAATAAGCAAAGATGGATTTATATCTGGGCTCACGTTTTCCTATTCTTTCCTATTTCATGCATACTTCATCTTAGTCAGCCATATCATAGTGATAATAGGGTCTCCAGTGTATAAAATAATAAATCTATATATGTAGTGACAGGATGCTTGATAAATACACATGACAGTCATGTGGAAAATGACACTTTTAATACACGCTAAAAAGAGAAATTGGTTGTAGATGGTTAGAAATTGTTGAGAAATAATTGTCATCTATTTACAGTACCTGGAATGTGTTGGTTTGTTGTTGAACTTGTTATAAATGATAGAATAAGTTTTTTAAGTGACAAGCATTTTATTTAGAACATGGAGAGTTGGCGATTCCATATAACTTAGATGTTCTTTTCAGAGGAATAAAATAATAAAATAATTCAATTAATAATTGAAACGATACTAGAAATATCTTAAATATGCCTTAATGTGTGAAGGAATTGCAATTCTGATTAGCCATAAAGGGGGTCATACTTAGCACATCTGTAAACATAAAAATGGGGGTGGGGCACTTGTTACCTGTCACCTTTTACTTCAAATCCCACACAAGTACCAGCATGTGAAAATGGCATTCACCTGACATGACGCCACTATGAATTATGGGAAAGCCGATATATTCTTATTACCATAATATTCTTATAAAGTACATAGATATGAGGTTGAAAAATGACCAGGCAGTCCACTACGGGGGTGGGGGGTGGGGGGGGGGGGGGGGGAGAATGATTTGATGTACAGTACAGAACCAGCCTTTTAAGCGAAATTAAATATGGAGAAATTTAAGACTTCACGAATGCCCAAAACTACAGTATAGATCTATCTACAGTCATGACATCTTGGGAATATATATCCAGTCTTTTTAGTGAAAAGGTAATAGTATGAACAGCTGGGATTCAGCTTTTCACACAGCAACCACCCCAAGGGGGTCTTTTCATTCACAAAAGTCTGTTTCACCCAGGGGGCAGTAATATAATATTATTGAATATACCTTTAGAAGAATAAGGGTAACGTTGTTGTAGTTCTTGCATAAACTTGTGATGTAATATCACCAATTATTTCTGTTCTTTGCTGTGATGTGTGTGTGTATGTGTGACATCAATATACAAACAAGTGCTATTATAATGAGGTATGCGTCTCGGTGACATAACAAATGCCCTAGGCTCTATTCCCATAGGTTTTAGATCGATCTATCCCCGCGGGGAGTCTCAAAAGATTACTTTCAGATAATCCGACTTAAATGTCCGTCCCGCCTACAACAAGCTGTAAGAGGGTAATTAACTTTCGTGTCCGCTCGGCTGACAGCTATTTAGCGTGAACCCCCAGGGAGTTAGGTCGATCTAAAGTAGGTCGATCTAATCTATGGAAATGGGGTCCTAGACTGCTTGGTACCCGAGACAGAACAAATTGGCCGAAAACTCCTTGCTAAATTAAGCTCAATGTTTGGCAGCTTGTTAAGATTTAGTGTAACTGAACGTATATAAAAGATATTTTCACTGGCAGCGTGTCTTCTGACTAACTGAGAAAATTATTTTTTGTCTGACTGTCACCACTTTTGACATTTGTTCAAAAATTCCTTGTTGTGGACTGAAGGAAATAGTTAATTTACAATGGCATATCAAAGAAATGGTTTAATGGAAATATATAAATATTACAGGAATTATTGTAAAGCATTATGTGACAGGTGCAATACCCAGTTTGACATATCACTAATTAAATGCAACCAATAATTAATGAGTTAGGGTGCATTAACCACTAGATCAGCTTAGTCAGGATATGGGCTTAGTCCAATTGATGTCATGCCAAATGACAAAACTGATTAAAATAAGATATAAAAACTAGAAAAATGCCAGTGGAATTCCACAAGCAACATGGTTAACTCTTGTGGTCTTTTGTATCAGCTTTTATAACAAAGTTAGGGAAGTTGTGAGTAATTTGAGTCCCAAATTGTCACACTTCTCACTTGTCCTTGGTGACAATCTATTCATGGGGTGACACTGTGAATATGACACCCTGTGGGTACGCTGCCACTAGTTACCTATACTTTCCATACCAGAAATGGTTCACACTTTGATACATTACAAATTGCTCTGTGGGGGTAACATTAATTTATTAATGCAATGGATATGCCAGGCAGTTGTGATTGTTTGACAAATACTTGGCACATGGTTAAGGAAAAAGGGTATCGGAGGTAAAATTTTCTTTTTTTTTTTTTCAGAAAGTGTTGCATTTTGAGCAGACACATAATAGGGTACATGTTAAACTTAAAATATGGTAAAAGATGTTAACATTGTTACTATTTTTCTATATGACAGTGTCAAATATAATCTCTTGCAGATAATTCAATATATGACACACAATGGTCAAATGTCAAGCAAGTACATGTAAATGCTTTTATAGTTTTTGAGTCATTAAAGAAAGATGTCTCTGTATCTGCAGAGACTTGAAGATAAAACTGTGGTATATGTAAATCATTTATAGTTTTGGAGCCATTAAATAAAGATGTCTCTATTTCATCAGAGACTTTGAAGATAAAAATGTGGTATATGTAAATAATTGAGCACATATTGAGTCACGGCGAGTAAACTGCCCCTATTATCGAGGCAGCTTTAATCAAAAAGTAGTATGTATATTTTATTAGTCACAGTTTGTCGTAGGGAATACTGATATGAAAGATAACCTGCAAAATGCTTAAAAAACATCACGCATGAT